AGTCTAATATTAAATGCACCTTGCTCTCATTCACACATCTTCTGATCTGTTGCAGGGCAGTTTGATATATTTTCCCAACCTTGGGCTTCTTCATCACCTTATAGGCTGTTTGCTCATTAGTTGAATAAACATCCCTAAACATATGTTTTGCTTTTAGAAGAGAAGTTGAGAACAACCCATAAATTAAAGATGAGTGCAGACATTGCTTCAGACCACTGATAAAACTTTCATTGTTAAAAGAATTGCCAGGTTGGTGCGGAGAGGAGGGAAAGGCATGGAGAAGGAACTGCTATTTCAGGGAAGATTTATTTTTTTAAAAAGTTCCCCAATTGTCTTGTGTGGAAACCAGATATTTGGCTTCCTTGCCAATTGTCTTTTGATTAAAACCAGATTTGTTTTGTTTTTGGAGTAAAGGCAGGAGCCGCTCTTTCTCTTTTTACCATGTTAAGGCATGAATGTTAGTTTTATTTTTATTTATTTATTAGTTAGATGTGTATAGGCGCCTATTTGCCATGGCGACTCAAGGTGGCTTACAACATATAAAACCACAATTTAAAACAGTAAAACTCATAAAATCAAATAAATTAATATCGTAAAATCACCCCCAACTTCCCCCACCCAGTGACAGCAGATTACATGAGCCATTTAATGGGCTTCATCCTGCTCTGTGTTCCTCAAGCTTGCTGGCAGAACCAAGTCTTCAGCGCCTTCCGGAAGAGAATCAGAGTGGCGGCCAATCTAATCTCTGAGGGAATGATGTTCCAGAGAGAAGGAGCCATTATGGAGAAGGCCCTTCTTCTGGGTTCCACCAGGTGTATCTCCCTTAAGGATGGAACCCACAACATTCCTTGCCTCCTCGCTCTAATGGGTTGGGTAGGTGTGACCGGCAAGAGACATTCCCTCAGATAACCTGGTCCCAAGCCATGAAGGGCTTTAAAGGTGACAACCAGCACCTTGAATTGCACCCAGAAGCAAATCAGCAGCCAATGCAGCTCCTGCAGGAGAGGTAATACATGTGCACACTGGGGTCTACACAAAAATGTGCAGGCTGCTGCATTTTTGCACCAACTGGAACCTCTGGATGCTCTTCAAGGGCAGTCCCATGTAGAGCATGTTACAATAGTCAAGACGGGAAGTGACTAGGGCATGAGTGACTGTCAGTAGGAATTGTTGGTCCAGGAAAGAGCGTAACTGGTGCACAACCTGCAGTTGTGCAAAGGCCCTCCTGTTCGCGACCGTCACCTGCTCTTCAAGCAGGAATTGTGAGTCCAGGAGAACTTCCAAATTACACACAGGGTCTGTTTGGGGTAGTGCCACCCCATCCAGGACCAAAGATGGCAATTCTCCTTTCGCCAACGAACTTCAAACCCAGAGCGACTCAATCTTGCTAGGGTTTAGTTTCAACAATTAATGCAGATATTGACAAATGACACCATCAATGCATAACAAGAATGCACCAGCTTGCTTGGGGGAAAACTCAGAATTTCAGAATTGTATACAAGTAGAAAAAATATTTGGGGAGGGGGAAGTAAGTTCTAAGGTAAACAAAACTTCTGCCCTATTATGAATGAGCCTATTCAATGGACATGGGATATTGATCAATTGTCTGGACAGGGAAATGAAGAAAGTTTTTAAAAATAGGACAAAATGATTGGCATGTTTTGGTTGTGAAAAAGATGTTGAGACTCTAGAAAGAGCATAGATTAGAGCAACAAAGATGATTAGGGGACTGGAGGCTAAAACATATGAAGAACGGTTGCTGGAACTGGGTATGTCTAATGAAAAGAAGGACTGGGGTGACATGATAGCAGTGTTTCAATATCTCAGGGGCTGCCACAAAGAGGAGGGAGTTAAGGTATTTTCTAAAACACCTGAGGGCAAGACAAGAAGCAATGGGTGGAAACTAATCAAGGAAAGAAGTAACCTAGAACTAAGGAGAAATTTCCTGATAATTAGAACAATTAGTGGAACAACTTGCTTCCAGAAGTTGTGAATGCTCCAACACTGGAAGTTTTAAAGAAGAGATTGGACAACTATTTGTCTGAAATGATATAGGGTTTCCTGCCTTAGCAGAGGGTTGGACTAGAAGACCTCCAAGGTCCCTTCCAACTCTATTACTCCTATTCTATTCTATTCTATTCTATTCTATTCTATTCTATTCTATTCTATTCTATTCTATTCTATTCTATTCTGTTCTATTCTATTCTATTCTATTCTATTTGATTCGATTTTGAACAACAGCACAGACATTGTAAGTACTTTGTTACAGGTGCCACTGGTTTTCAAATGTGAAAAATCTGTAAGAAATTTGTGGCTTTTCCAGAAGTCTAGTCTATCAGTGTTGTATTATATTGATAATTTCAATTCAGCAAGATTTCTTGCTCAATCTTAGCTCTTCACCATCAGATGCACACTGATAGATGAGACTATTTCTAGCTGAGGGTTGACTCCACCAGTGTATATTGAACTCAACCTAGGTCAGGCCCTGGCATGTAATTTCACAATGAGGCTCATGTATGAGAGATATGATCAATTAATGACTATAAGAGCCATTGTGGCACAGAGATCAGAGTGCAGTACTGCAAGTTACTTCTGCTGCCTGCTGACTGCCTGCAATTTGGCAGTTCAAATCTCACCAGGCTCAAGGTTGACTCAGCCTTCCATCCTTCTGAGGTGGGTAAAATGAGGACCCAGATTGTTGGAGGCAAGAGGCTAACTCTGTAAACATGCTTAGAGAGGGCTGTAAAAGCACTTTGAAGTGATATTTAAGTCTATTACTAATGCTATCCAAGATAAAATTTTATCTGAAATAAACTAAAAACGTTAAGTTTGGAAGCTAAACACCCCTGAAAGGAAACAGTTCCTTCTAGAACTGTGTATGAAGTGTATATTTTGTATCAGGCTATCAGAACTATATTATTATGGGAATTCCAGCTTTGACTCCTCTTTCTACACATTGTTCAGTCAATTTTACTGCTCTGGTTCTGTACCTTCCCCATACCCAACAGTGTAGCAGAGATAACAGAATTAATTTAAACCTATTTGTGGAGAAAATAGGTATTACTTGAATTATAGGTTGGTAGCTGGGAATATTTGGGAGGTGTGGACATTGAAAGGTGGGAATGAATGAATGTTTCATCATTATTTTGTTTTTTTCTTATTCCATGCATGTAAAACAATGAAATGCAATCATTCTAAAAAAATAAGTGGCAAAGCTATGTCAGATTTTTATTTCCTTTTCTCCCTTTGCTCCTTGTTCTTTTTTCTTTCACCTCAAAAAGTAAAACTTAAAAGTGTCCAACACCTTTCTCTGAAAAAACTGTGCTTTTCTTAGATGTGTGTGTGTGTGTGTGTTGTCTGTGTGTGAATTCATTCCCCTCCCCCCATAATTACTTACACAGAGAGAAAGAGAGACTACATTATACCCTTTAGAGAAAATTGCTCACTATATAAAGATTGTTTCTACTTAAGTTATAATTGGTAAACATCATCTCCTTGGAACATTTTTAAGTGCGCCACTATATGTACTATGTACTCAAATCTTGTTTGCATCTATGAAAGGATGGACAGTATTTTATTACAGTGCATCATCTGGAAAGGAAGATATTTAAGCCTATCAAGTGCACCATGAGACATTTCAGTGGCAGTATTTCTCTGAATCCCAGTTTTTATTATCTATCGTTCACAAGGAAAAAAATGTACAGAAGAACTATCCCTACCATTAAGTAGAGTCAGAGAGCTCCCTGCCTGAAATGCACCTGCTGGAAGGATAATATTTATTTGAAATAGACAGTCTTATGCATATTTGGGTGCCAAGTGATGTAAGTTTTTAAAGATCAAAAATGGAACTTTGCATTGCATCCAGAAGCTTATCCGTAACCAAGCAGAGCTCTCAATATTATGTGTAATTTGTGAATACTGAATCAATCATGGTAAGCCATGGTGGTGCAGAGGTTAAAATGGAATATTGCAGGTTGACTCAGCCCACTGCCAGGAGTTTGATCGTGACCGGTTCAAAGTTGATTCTGCCTTCCATCCTTCTGAGGTTGGTAAAATGAGGACCCAGATTGTTGGGGGCAATATGCTGACTCTGTAAACTGCTTAAGTAAAGCACCATGAAGCGGTATATAAGTCTAACTGCTATTGCTATCAATACATTCACCTGAGACTCATAACAATTTCAAAGGCAAAACCAAGCAGAGTGCATTTCATCTAATGAGGAAGTGGCAAGGATTTCAGTTACTTTCTCCAAGAATAAGCCATCATAGGAATTGGTGAATAGGGAGAGACTACTTCAGAGCAATCTCTTCTAGGACTCTGATCACCTCCCTGTTCCAAAACTGAACCAGGTGCTTAGTGGCTCTGCCTTCCAGATTGGAGTGAAACCCCCCAGAACCCATTCAGAATCATATGAACCATAAAAGCCTCAGTGGCACAGTGTTTAGAGTGCAGTACTGCAGGCTACCTCTGCTGACTGCCAGCTGCCTGCAGTTTAGCACTTTGGATCTCACCAAGCTCAAGGTTGACTCACCTTCCATCCTTTCAAGGTGGGTAAACAAGGACCCAGATTGTTGGGGGCAAGAGGCTGACTCAGTAAACTGCTTAGAGAGGGATGGAAAGTACTGTGGTATATAAGTCTAAGTGCTAATGCTATTGTTGTACACCTAGAGTCATTTTTGGTGAGTTCAGTGGCTGTAACAATGTGGGAGGAAACAAACCCAATGTTTCCTCCCACACTGTGGGAGTTTGCAATGTTAACTGTCCTGGGGTAACCATAGCTGTAAAACCAGAACCTGGAATAGTTCATCCGTCAACTCTTTCACCTTCTCCTTTCTCTGAATGTTTTCTATTTTGAGTTAGTGATTCCTCTTCTTGTCCTCCCTAACCTCTGCAACCACTTTCTCCCAGAAAATGTCAGAGAGAGGGGGAAAAAAGTTCCCCGGTCAAACCTCTATGACTTTTGAAAGCCAAGGATCACCTGCCCAACTCTTCTTCTACAGTAAAGGTAAAGGCTCCCCTCGAACATACGTGCTACTCATTTCCGGCTCTAGGGGGCAGTGCTCATCTCCATTACAAAGCCAAAGAGCCAGCGCTGTCCAAAGACGCCTCCGTGGTCATGTGGCCGGCATGACTGAACACCAAAGGCGCACAGAACGCTGTTACCTTCCCACCAAAGTGGTCCCTATTTTTCTACTTGCATTTTTACATGCTTTTGAACTGCTAGGTTGGCAGAAGCTGGGACAAGTAATGGGAGCTCACTCTGTTATGCAGCGCTAGGGATTCGAACCGCCAAACTGCCGACATTTCTGATTGACAAGCTCAGCGTCTTAGCCACTGAGCCATCGTGTCCTTTCTTCTACAGTATGTTACCATTATTAATGAACTTGGTGCAATTCCCCTGGTATAAAGAAAGCCACAAAACAGGTACGCAACACATGTGCAGGAACAAGAATGTGTCATATATCTGGGTGACAAAACAGAGACAAACTCGAAATGACTTGAAATATGTCCTTTACCGCTTATGGCAGCAGGTGGCAGCACTTTCATTTTAAGCTTGCTCGGATGCTGCGAGATTGCTGAATTAAATTTGGCAGGTCCAAAAGTGATGTGACAGGATTCTCACAGTTAGGACTGTTGTGAACACTTTGACTTTAATTAGAACAGCGATACCCTGGGGAAGGGATGTTCCCCTCCCTGCCATTCTACCAACCTAAATTATCCATTCAAAACTCCTGCTCAAATAATTGGATTCTCTAGGCATTAAACACACACACACACACCCAAAACCTTTAAAACTGTCTCAAGGGAAGGAGCTTCAATTTTCATTGAAGAAGGGGCACTAAAATTGGAGTTAGTTTTCCTTTCTTTTGTGTCAATATATTGATTTAAAATTCTCCACTTAAACTGCTATCATAACCACACTAAGAAAAAAACAAAAACAGAGATTAACAGATAATCAAATTAACAGAGTTGGAAGGGACCTTGTAGGTCATCTAGTCCAACCCCCCCCAAGCAGGAGACCTACACTATTTCTGACAGATGTCAGTCCAGTCTCTTCTTGAAAGCTTCCTGTGATGAAGTTCCCACAACTTTCGAAGGCAACTTCTGTTCCATGGGTTGATTGTTCTCACTGTCAAAAAATTTCTCCTTATTTCTAGGTTGACTCTCTCCTTGATCATTTTCCATCCATTATTCCTTGTCTGGCCTTTGGGTGGCTTGGAAAATAGCTTGACCCCTTCCTCTCTGTGGCAGCCTCTCTTACAGACTTCCAGATAATCAGAGTTGGAAGGGATCTTGTAGGTCATCTAGTCCAGTGATCACCAACCAGCGGACTGGGGACCACTGGTGGTCCATGAGAAAATTTTGGCGGTCCGCAGATAAATGTCACTCCCAAAGCACCCCCCAAAGCAATTAATCCAGGCTACACGGGAACACAAGGCTTTGCCGCCCACATAGCCCACGGGAACACAAGGCTTGCATCACTTGCATTGTGAACAACACGAAGTAGTGAGGGGAGGGGAAAGGTCAGAGGGGGAGAAACTTGCCCCGCTCACCTTGCCTGGCCACCCGGCTGCTTCTTTCCACTTCTTTCTTCTTTTGCTTTTGGCTGCATGCAAGGAAAGCAGCAAAAGTCTTTCTTTCTCTCCCCCAAACTCTGCCAGAAATGAGTCTTTGGGATTCTGCAAGGCATCCTGCTCCAAGAGGCTGCACTGGCGCAACAAGTCTCACAAAGACTTATTTCTGGTGGAGTTTGGGAGAGAGAAAGAAAGAGTTCTGCTGCTTTCCTTGCATGAAGCCAAAAGTCTCTC